CACTAAAAGGTATAATCTTACATCGCTGTCATATTTGTCATTCTAACCACGGTATATTGTTGGCATAATGGCAAAGTGGTGATATATCCAAACACGTACTGGGCCACCCCCCATATGCACACCACTCCCCAAATGGTTGAATGAAAAGTCACACGTTCCCAAATTGCGGGTGTGGTTTTTTGTTATTACATTGTTTTATGATTGATGGGCAACAATTTGACAATCATAGCAACTGCACAACACTGAAATATCAAATATATTAAGCCACAAGCAAGTCAATCACTTTGTACATGAAACACGGTATTGTGTAGGAGCGCGATTCCCACAATGAGCGTCACCCCAGTTTGCACTGGAACACATTGTGAACATCATAGGATCAAATAATGGACAGCTTTTGCCACTCTCGCAGCTAGAGAACATTCTACATGAACCAGTGGTGTGCACAACTTGTACGTGTTTTTGATTGCAGTGCGATGTTTGTGCACGCTGTACTGGATGTCTTGACGCAGTTCTTGTAAATGTATTTATTGAGATTATTTTGGTGTCTCTAAATGTAAAAATTATGGGCCGTTTGTTGAGCAATCATTTTTTGTCCAGGTCGCTTCTGATAAATAAAGTTAATAACTCAGTGGGCTTTGCCGATATGATGGGGATTGTTGAGTTTGATTGTATGTGTTCAGTATTTTGTTTGTCTTTCTTGTACTTTGCACGAATATCGTGTTTTGTATTGTCTGTTGTTATAAACGTTATTATCCGCCCCTATTGGACATCTGTGAAAATAGCTTTAAAGCTATTGATATTGAATCAATTGTATGCTCTATGTTATTTTGGCGATGCTGCCGCTTATGGCAGCGGTGGCTACGTGCCCACTTTCTCGTTCTTCTGGCCATGATCTTCACCAAGAACACAGAGATGGTTATCATCGAATCAACTCGTTTTGCTCCGCGTCTATGTCACTCGAGGACGCCTGAACAAAAGCTCACTTGTACTCGAAGGTCGCAGCGTGTTCCACTGAATCTCACTCATCAGCCACACGGGGAGCCTCCAGTTAATGTTGTATAACGACGGCGGTGCCCGTTTCTTCGCACCGACTCACCAACATGCCGGCACAACAGCAAGGCCTACGACGTGATTATCCCAGGTCATGGACTCGGCCCTGGCACATAACGTAACCTTCCCCCAGCTCCCTCGTGCGTCTTCACGTGATCTGATGTAGAAGTCTCATCACATGCAGCATAAACCCATAACACCAACATGATCAAAATACGGCAAGCCTTGCTTCATGAGACCCCGCAGTGCTCTCATCTGGAGGCATTTTCGTATCAAAACATATTTTCAGGGTGCTTCAAATTTGTTTTAACACTTCTGAGAAAGTGCAACAATTCCACAAGAATGTGAACTCCGGGCAAAGGAGACCACCGGAGAAGATTCCAGCCATTTGTTGACAATGATGGCGAAGTGGAGACTCTTTGACTTTTTGAAGCTTTTAACGTACATTTGTGATCATGTTACAGTGTATTATCCGTTCTTTTTCCTTTAAAAACGATTGTCCTATTTAAGTTAATAATAAAGGTGTTTGGATTAGATCGCGTAAGTATAATGTGTCGCAACCCTCCACCACCCAACACGGCGAATCAGTAAAAAAATGTGTCACGTTAACATAACGCCTATAGTTACTTCGTCCTATATAAGTGTTAACATTTTTTTGAAAACGCAACCGCCCCATCATTCGCTCAGCCAATGAGAGCGACGTACGCTCTGAGCCAACCAGACTCTCCCACCGCAATTCCGATTGTCGCGAGTCACGGTTACGTTAGCGCGAACGATCAATGCGAATTAAAAGTCGGTGGGGATAGAAACTATATAGGCAGACATCGCTTAGCACGACCCCATAGAACGTCCAATCCATTATCGCGCTCTTTGTCCTTGAGAACATGTTTTACAAAAAAAAATCGAATTATCTATAAAAATACTGACGAGTAGCCAATGAGAGCGACCTAAGCCGAGCTAACCAAATCCACGCCCGCGATTCAATTATCACGATTCGTGTCACGATTAAGATTTTTTTTAAATGGATCTTACACCCCCCCCCCCCCCCGTTTATCAAGGCGAGAAGGCACGAGTCCAGGAGAAAGTCTCAGGCTCCACCTAAAAGAAACCTCCCCACAGAGGTTTAGACTGAGGGTGGCATCACTGACGTCTGAGAATGTCCTGGATTGTGAGCACAGCAAGTCCCCCACCGATACCATGTAGGACTACATTAGAAAAGTACATGATACTTACCGATGTTATAAGACGTAAAACATGTTTTTACCATCTGTATTATTAGCGCTATTATTGATACCCCAATAAAGTCCTCATACATTTTTGTACGAAATAAACGCTGTCTGGAACGCATCCTCGTATATGCAATGGTAGAATGACCCCTATTAGCTCACATTCGTTAGCGCTCACTTTTCCAGGAACGCATTTTGAACGTTAAGTGAGGTCTGCCTATACTTATCAAAAATGCGACTGTTAATATTTCCCCCCATTCTTCATGAATTACTAGTTCTTAATTATAATTATAATGCAAAACATCACCCGTGAGCCTCCATAAACTTTGAATTAAGTGTTTCATTCACAAAAGGCTACCAATACATTTAACTATCTGCTAATCGCCACTATCATTTGTATTCGATTCTTGTATAAACTATCACGTATTTGTATTAACGACTTCTTATGTTAGTTATAATTTGTATTTGCATTTTATCTGAAGTGCCATTATATTGTCTAAATCGATATATGACAGTGAGCAACCAAGAAAATCGAACAAAAACTGAAAGGTGTGCCAAAAAGCATCGACAGATGCATCCTTGAAATTACTTTGATATTGACGGAAGTAGTGCACAGATTACAGAACACACGCAGGTCAAAGACAACATTCAAACTGTTCAGTAAAATAAGTGGACTCGTGCAGAAGGGATGATGGCTGACGGTCATGCAAAGCAACGGAGTTGCCATGAGAATGTGGAATTGACACTTGGCTCTGATGTAAACATGAGATGAGCACCGCACCACAAAACAAAGACAAATATCCCCCGTGTAGCCTTAACAGCCTGTCGGGGCAAGTGCTGTTAGCGATCACCTATAAAGACCGACACGGCACACGAGGGGTGGGTGGCCAACACCATGCCCGGCCGCCGTTGTCTCCCTAGTGGCGATGTTTACACACCGCACCAGGTACTCATTTGAGGCTGAGTCGACCTAGGGGAGGCCCAGGACCCGTTCAGATAATCGTCGCCGGTATTAGCCATGAGCAGAAAACAAACTCGGACAGCCGGGTTCGTAGCACAGCCAAGCGCTTACCGCTACACTACCGTGCCCACACACACACACGCCCCGCATACCTTCAAGTCTATAAATTGGATCGCTGACTAAAATAGAGCAGATGGCGACGAGTTCCCGTTTCTTGACATCTGCGCAGGAGGCGAAGCGACGACCAAAGAGGTAATGAGCACCTGGCGGACACGTCTAAAATGTGAAATGTATCTCGGAAGAGAACTGCCGTTAATGTTCAGCCCTAGGTTTGTCGCTGCCACGTACAATACTGTACAATTTGTATTAATAAACCGTCCAAATGCAACAAGCATCTCAAATGCTGTAAACAGTGGGCATGTTTATGTTATTGCATAGAGAGAAGCCACATATATCCGAAATACGATGGGGGTCATCGCTGCCTGCTCACGTGAAAGTTACTCAACTTCCCTGTGGCTTCTGTGGGCCTGATTGGCACTTCAATCGCTTCCTCCTCCATCCTCATTTAAGGAACTAACTCCCCTAACTGCCACCGAGCTGAGCGGGGACTTCACCGGGTTCTCGAGTAGGCACCCCCCTTCAGCGGCGTTTCGTCGATTATCCCACTACACCTCAGGGAGGGGGTGGGGGGCTGGACAGCAGAACCAGTGTCCTGGAACTACCCCCTCGATCCGCCACTCGACTCAGCCTTGCCTCTCTCCTGCCTGTGTGGCTCTGCCATTGCTCGTTCCTC